TTTAGTCTCCAAAAAGTGGCATTTCAGCTACTATTTTATTTTTAGTCACCAATAAGTAATATATGGCGACTAAAAAATTTTAGCAGCTATTGTATCAACAAACACCGACTAATACAATTTTTAGTCACCAAAAGGTTAACTTTTGGCGACTAAATTCCTTTTTGTCGCCAAATTTGATCGCCAAAAGTGCATTTTCTTATAGTGACACTAAGTGTGAAATACATGACAAAAATAAGAGGGTTAATGTTCATTTTTAAATTTTAAGAAAATAAATTTCACATACAATAAAACTATAAAGAGTTAAAATGTACCTTATTTTTAAAACAAATAGTAAAAATGTATGAATATTTTAAATTTTTTTTATTAAATCATTAACCGAGCGAACGGTGCAATTTATTTGGCAAATCACAAAGAACACACGCCACATGGCCCAAATCACAGGATGGAGTGAAGTTTGCCTTTTAGAGCATCTCCAACGCAAGAGCCAAAAGGGGAGAATTAGGCATTTTGCCTATTGAAGTCAGATTTTGAAGCTCCAACGCGCTCTGCATCTGAGAAGGCATTTTGCCAATTCTTGTTTTGGCTCTCCACAGGTAGCCATCATCCATTGCTAGGCAAACCACTCTTCCCGCCATTGTGTTGGCCTCCATCGCTACTTGTTCCATTTCTGTTCCAGCCCATTGATGATCACAGGTATGGCTCTCTTTCTCTTTCTCTTTTTTCTTTCTCCACTTCCCTGTTCTTCCCCATCATCTATTTGCAAAGGAATACATGATTTTAGGGCAATCCATTTGCAAAAATTGGGTTTGTGTACTGAAATTGGTGCCCTTGTTCATGGAAATTTAGTTTTTTTTTTTGTTTTGTTTAATTTTTTTTTGTTTTATGCTTCCTCAATCTTCGTTTGGTTAAAGTTACAGAGGTAGAAAAGACCGATCATATATTAGGTTCTCAAAATATTATCATATTAGGACTTGTCTTTGTTCATGGAAACTTGATTTTATTCTTTTGTAGGACTTTTTTTATGTATTTTTTTGTTTTTCACTTCTATTGTCTTTCCTTGGCAAATTTTTTGTTTTGTGCTTCCTTGATCTTCGTTTGGTTAGGTGGATGAGGTAGATTTTTGAAATGCACTCAAGGTGTTTGAAGAAAAGACAGACTAGAATTTGGGATGCATGAGTTGAATTGTGAACCTATGTGATGCATGAGTTGAATTGTGAACGAAATTATTTCTTGAAAAAATTTCAGCACAACTTGCAAGTAGAAATATATACCTATTAATACAGACCTTAAACCTCCAATAATCATCAATCAGTATTTCAAATACAAAATCACTTCATTCTTATGTATGGAATCTCATAGATGTTTATATATATAGTTCAATGATGACCATGAGGAGATAATTGCGTAATTTCAATTTCTGGCTATGTCATCTACTTCTGCAATTGTTGTAGCTCTCATGTGATACATGAGTTGAATTGTGAGAAATGAGTTTTGCTATTGTAGTTTATGTCTAACAGTAAACCCATGTGATACATGAGTTGAATTGTGAGAAATTAGACACACACATATATAAATTAGTTCAACGTTAACATAACACACCTCACAAGCTACTTCTTTTCACATAAAATTAAAGATTTATATAATGAGCATTTTCCTATTTCTTTTCACATAGAAGTAGAGCCCCTTGATAATGTTCTCTAACTTGGGTGTGGAACTGATTTTGTGGAGTACATATGCATATATGTATATGTATAAGAGGGGGTGGGGGGTGGGTGGGTGGGCAAAATAACCAAATTGATCTAGCTTACTAGGAATTTGAGTGTCATTAGGTCAGAGTGTGATCCATGCCATTGTGGATTCTCTGTTTCTACATGCACAAGATTTGAAGATGAGCCATTAAAGGGATTTGGAAGAGGAAAAAACTCAAAATACAGAGTGTTGTTCATTTAACTTCAGAACATTTTAGTCCCTGCTATTTTGGTTGGGTACAAAAGTCCGATATGGCCATTTTCCCTTGTAATATTTAAATGCCATAGTGATTATTCAAATTTTCTGGATTTCAATCATGGAGAATAAAAAAAGACCAATAATCCTAAAGAATGTTCAGGAAACTTACTGTGAAAACAACAGGATTAGTACTAACAGAATCACATAAGACTCAAGAAAACACAGAATTGCAATAATAAAATAAAGCAGAAGCTATAACATGATATTCAGTAGATAATATTGCATAGAATGAAATGGAATGTCCAAATGACCAAATCACCCCTAGATTGTTCTTTGTTCATTCATATATATATATATTTTAAAATTTTCAGTTTAAACAAGCCAATCACCTTGAGTTTCATTTATGTAATTGGAACCAGTCACTGGAAAAGGTTCATTCAAATATTAAGGAACGTATCTTCAAAGATGCAATGCAACCAAACAAGCTTTGAATGCACACACTTGCAACTAGTCCTATTAGTATAGCTCATATATATCCGCAAGGTCTGTAAGTTCATGTATATGTGCAAGTGATCTTTCCTTTCAATGAAGAATTGAATTTCCTCTATTTTGGTATTGTTCTTATATGAGATTTTGTTTTACTGAGGAATATTCTCAACACAAACTAATAATAAGTGAAGGATACTTAAAGATCTTGTTTACCTGAAAAGAAAACTTTCTTAAATATCAGACCTCTATCTAAAAACCTATGGATGGTAATAATGTCTAAATTTGGAGTATAAAAAGTTATAGAAACATGTAGACAAAAAAAGTTGCAGTTCAAGCAAATATAGAATAGCGTGAAGTATTTCATAGAACTGAAAGAAAAATCAAGAAGCTCTGGTTGTGCCAATTCAGGAAGAATAATTAAGCAATATGTAGTGGTAACAAATTCAAGCCACAAGTATGAAAATTTAACACAAAACATGGGACAACATAAACAATTACAACACTACTAAAATCATTTTGTGGTAGTGATCAACCCAAATTGACAAAACAAAACTACTAATTATGAACATTTTGCACATTCCCAAACTCTATTCCGCTACTAGAACAGCAACATAACATATCCAACAGACGGAAAAACAAAATTTGTTTTTATCTTTTTTTTCCCCTATCTCCCACGCACTGAAAGGGAAACCCTCCAAATGGATCCTGTATATTGTAATCCATACTTCCTCGCCACTAGTGTTGAATTCCACAACAGAGCAATCAAAACAAGCTAAAAGGATAAAAACAAACAGACATGATAATAGACAAAATACTTTGAACATCTCCGAAAGCAGCAGGCATGACCACAACACCAACTAAACGCATAAATGTAAAAAACAAAACCCAACAAATTAATTATATGGCCCTTTCAAACTTATTAATACACTTCCATATTGCCTCTTCAATCTTCCTGAGTCAAAAACCCATTACTGCCCTAAATAATATTTTTTTGGTACTAATTTCAACAACACCTTGCTATCGGTTTGTCAATACAATACATTAGGGCTTTCAATACATACACAATCAGGGACCAAATATACATGCAAATACATACACAATCAATGGATTAGGGCTTTTAAACTAATGAGAGAGAAAGGAAAAAGCAGGGAAAATGTATGAAACCACTTAAATCAAACTCGTTTAGGCCATCATACCCATAAAACTTTACAAATCAAACCACTTCATCTCAGTCCATTTTGCGAAATCAACACAACATGAAATTGTAGACATCATAAAAGCCCTAGAGTAAGATTCAGAATGGGGGAAATAGAGAAACAGGGATAGAGAGAGACAGAGAGGCAGACCAAGGTCGACAGACCCAGAGACAAAGATAGACCGAGAGTGAGTGAGACAGAGACAGACTGAGAGTAAGAGAGAACCTGGTTGGATTAGGCGGTGGTGGTCGTGATTTGTGGCGGCGGTGGCGAACGGCGGTGGTCTGCGTTGAGGTGAGGTTGGGTGAGGTTTGGTGCTGATGGAATCTGTGTGTAAGAGAAAGCACTAGATGTGTAAAAATAAACAGGCGCCAACATTTATTCATTTCCCTCTAAAATTTCATTCAACCTTTGACGACAAAACTACAAATTTGTCGGCAAATAGTGGCAAATGTTATTAACGGCGACCAAACCATTAGCCGCCAAAAGTGAATATTGCCTGACTAAATTCCTAGTAGCCAAAGACTAACAGTAAATATGTCTGTTTTGGGCGACTAAATGGCTTTTTGTCGCCAATAATTACTAAACACCAACTAAAACAGAATTTAGTAGGCTAAAATGTAGACTTATGCCGACTAATATTTTTTTAGTCGCCAAAAAGTGGCATTTCAGCTACTAATTTTTTTTAGTCGCTAATAAGTAATATATGGCGACTAAAAAATTTTAGTAGCTATTGTATCAACAAACACCGACTAATACAATTTTTAGTCACCAAAAGGTTAACTTTTGGCGACTAAATTCCTTTTAGTCGCCAAATGTGCATTTTCTTGTAGTGACACTAAGTGTGAAATACATGACAAAAATAAGGGAGTTAATGTTCATTTTTAAATTTTAAGAAAATAAATTACACAAACAATAAAACTATAAAGAGTTGGGTATTTTGGAAAGTTGGTAAAAAGTTGGCTTTTGACTTTTTACCAAGCTTTTTGGCTTTTTTGGAAGTGATTTGGAAAGTTGGTAAAAAGCTGACTTTTTTGATTTTTGATTTAATATTTTTTAAAAGTGTCACATCACTCCAAAATGACCAAAATATCTTTACTTTTTGATTTTTGAATTAATTAATTAATTAAAATATTCCAAAGAGTAATTTAGTAAATTTAGATGTTGTTTTTTTGGTTCTTGCCAAATGGGATGATTGTCGTTTTTAGACTACTCCCAAAATGCAACTTTTTTAGACACTTCTCAAAACGGCACAAAATGTACTTTATTTTAAAACAAATAGTAAAAATATATGAATATTTTAAATTTTTTTTATTAAATCATTAACCGAGCGAACGGTGCAATTTATTTGGCAAATCACAAAGAACACATGCCACATGGCCCAAATCACAGGATGGAGTGAAGTTTGCCTTTTTCTACGTCACTGTCCAAAGAGTGTTCCTTTCCCTCCAAAACATGCCCAATCGTTAATATTAATAGAGTTAAAAATAAATACCAAACAGACACAGAAGTAGGCCATCCATGGCGAATCATTCTGATTCAGAACGATACTTTCAATTTAGGGTTCATCGTAGCAAGCAAAATGGCGGAGAGCATCAGTCGGACGTCTTGCTCCGCTTTCAGGGCTCAATCACAACCACGAGGTACTTTCAATTTTTGGACATATATAGTTGTATATCGCAATTCGTAATGATATTCCAATTCTTTCATACTCTCTCTGTCTCTACTGTTTTAATTCCTCCTAATCAAGGGTTTCTCAGAGTAATGGATATGTATGTATATTAGCGGTGTATGTAAACACCATGTGTTTGTAATTTTATACCTAAATTTTTGGATGATTTGATGAGTGTGAAAAATCTTTAATTTTAAGTAATTGAATAGTTATTGTATATGATTAATACAGTGTTCAATAGAATAAATGCGTATATCTATTTGTACATGTATCTATAATTTTGATAAATAGTGCAAAATTTGGGAATTTATATGTATTTATAACTATTTGTTTTGTTTTTGGCCAATTTAGAAAATAAAATTTTATGGGTGGCAAGTACCAACATTTGTTATTGCCCAGTTATATGAGGCTGTATTTGTTAAAATTTAATAATTTGTAATAAAGTTTTAAGTTGGTGTGGTTGTAAACATCAAGCAAGCAAGAGCAATACAAACCATTTTGAGCTCTCTCTAAAAATCTCTCTCTCTAAAAATCTCTCTCTCTCTCTCTCTCTCTCTCTCTCTCTATATATATATATATATTTTTGGGTCTTTAATTTTCTCTTTTTTCAGAATTTGGTTCCATCATAATTTCCGCAAATATACTTTGCACCCAACAGTATTTGTGCCAAGAGTGTATAAGACCAGAAAATGTAATTGAAGAATTTGCGCCATGATACATTATTTTTATGATCTGGCTTCTAGACCACCAAATGAGTTATTGTTTCATCTCAATGCTTCTAAACCACCATTCTCTTTGTAGAGAGTATTCTATTTTGTTCCTATTATATTTTTGTTCCTAGGAATGGGAAAACTGAATTTGACAAGGTTAGGGCTGTACCTTTTCTCTTTCTATTAGGGATTAAGTTGGGCGTATTTTTTAGTAAAGAACCCTTGACCTCTCAGTATAGAGCCCTTGACCTCTCACAACTTTTATGGCGGGATGGGAAAAAAAATTCAAAAAAATTTTCTTGGGCAAAAAAAAATAAAAATAGAGAGGGTATGTAATGAAGCACTACCATGTTTAAACTCTTCTTTATTGGATTTAGTCCTTTAGCTCCTGTACAACACTGTTTAAAAACTCAAATTCACCCAGTTATGAACCTGTGGAACACTTTATGAGAAACGTGAAGATGCCATATACTTTTTATTATAGTATTAAATTTGCTTTATTTGAAGCACATTTGAATTGGATTTCCTATTTTGAAAATGCATTAAATTAAAGAAATTTTTTTTTTTCTCTCCACAAGATTCAGCAGTGGGAGATTATTAAAGAATGCTTTCTAATATTATATAGGTTTAAATGTTCTTTAGTTATGTGGAGCACACATGAACTGGAGTGTCCTTGCTTCAAATCTAGAAAAATGCATCTAATACCTAGTTTGATAAACCAGAAAGCAGGGTATTTATCCCTCCCTCCAACAGGGCGCGCCCCCCCTGGCTCCCAACCGAAAAAAAAAAAAAAAAACAGAAAGCAAGATACTTGTTTTCAACCAACAAGCTATCACTTAATCCACAGACCTTCATTGCTAATTATTCTCATAGTGTATAAAATATATAGGGCATATTAAGTTGCGTAGATTATACCAACAATGGCGAGTCAATGTCAGAAAGAAATTGTTGCTGATTGTTAGGGAAAATATGTGATTCCCACAAGTAAATCAATCAATGGAAATAAAAACTACTTGTTTTCAACCAACAAGCTATCACTTAATCCACAGACCTTCATTGCTAATTATTCTCATAGTGTATAAAATATATAGGGCATATTAAGTTGCATAGCTTATACCAACAATGGTGAGTCAATGTCAGAAAGAAATTGTTGCTGATGAGGATAGAACAGTGAGTATTGAGATCAAAGAGGGTGATGAGAGAGATATTTCCTCACTTAGCAGCAATGAGTGGCTAAACTTCATAATAGATGCTAGAGGTGAGTCTCGATCTGGAAGCATCAACTCACTGAAGCCCAAAATACAGAAGGTTCAACCTATGCTTCGCGAGGTTGAATCCAACAAGAAGTGCTATGATCCCCGGGTGGTTTCAATCGGTCCCTACCACCATGGGAAACCAGAGCTTGAAGCTGGTGAAAGGATCAAAATTCCACTGGCACGATTGTATTTGAAAGACAGTAGTAAAGAAACGGTCCATGAATTATATAAGGAGGTGGTCAATGTGGCTGGTGAAGCCAGGAAATGCTATGCTGAGGGCTTGACAGATTTCACCGATGAGTCATTTGCTCGGATGATGTTCCTTGATGGCTGCTTCATCCTTCAGTACATTTACGGCATTGTAAATGCAATTCCCGAGGTTTCGGAGATAATTCACCATGCTCCTTTGGTGCGGCGAGACTTGTTCTTGTTGGAGAATCAACTCCCTTTCTTAGTGCTCCAAGTGCTAATGCGCTTGAAATCTAAAAAACACGAGGGTGAAAAAATGATCACGGCTTTCATCAAGCGCATTAGGGGCGAGCCTGGTGAAAGAGGTGGGCTAATGGAAAAAATTGAAAACTTCTTTCAGAAGAATGTTTGGAGGACACAAAGCCATCGTGAGATGATGCAGCAAAGGAATTCTGAAGACAACCCCCCCATTCATTTTCTTGAACTTGTTCGCAGGCAATATATTGATTCAACAACTTCTTCCATCGGGTGTCACATTACTGGTGATTGGTACTCTCGTCGGTCAGCCAGGGACTTCACGTCAGTTGGGATCCAGTTCAAGCCAAGCAAGACATCCCAATTGACAGACATAGATTTCAAGTCTACATGCACTTCTGGGACTCTCCAACTTCCTCCAATTATCGTTGATGACATAACAAAGTCTATTCTGTTGAACTTGGTGGCCTATGAGGCCTGCCCGGATAGTATAACTGATGTTGGTGTGACCTCGTACATATGTTTCATGGATTCTCTTATTGATCAGGATGAAGATGTGAAGGTGTTGAGGGCTAAGGGTATATTGATCAACTTTCTTGGTAGTGACGGACATGTGGCTGATCTTTTCAATGAGATAGCCACTGATTTGGTTCCAAGCCCTCATGCTTATGTTGAAGTTAAAAAGAAAATTGAAAAGCATCATAGAAGCCGCATGAAGATTTGGGTAGCAGATTGGCTTCATACATATTTTAGGAACCCTTGGACTTTCATTGCTGTCACTGCTGCAATTTTGGCCATTACATTGAGTGTCTTTCAGACTATCCTTGCTGCAATTCAGACTTACCTCACTGCCCATCCACCAAAAGGTTGAAACTTTTGGGAACACTTCTCTGCCTTTGTTTCATTCTCTTTTTACTTATCAACTTTGAAAGGTTTGCTTCAGATTGATAGATTTGTTGTTGCTTGAATTTGTTTGTGATGTGATTCAATTCTTTTATGTTTACATAAAGATTCTCTGTTTCTCTTTGTTTGGTGCAGCAAATTGAGTGGCTTAGAGGTTTTTTTTTTTTTTAATATTAAAAAAGTATTTGGTATAATTTCTATTTATAACTTATGAGGCGGAAATAATTAAATAAACTAAAAGAAAATTGATTATCTGAAAGCCAAAAAAGGAGTGTTTTTAAGTTTTATTTTATGATTATCAATTTTAACTAGAGAAAAACCATACCATACTGGCTCTTTCCATCCTTGTGAGCCTCTTTTGGCTTGCTTAAAGTTATTTTTGAGTAATCGCAAATATATTAATTATAATTACATAATGAAACCATATTGATAAATACACATCGGAATCATAAGAGCATCTCTAGCAACACTGATTATTTTTTTATCTTTTTATAATTTTTTTCACATTAGCCAACTTGTTTATTTCTCCAACCTATGTTTGAATTTAGCCATTTTGATTTTTATCATTTTATGTATTAGTGTGTAATCATTGAGTAGTCTTGGAGCATCTTGTGTATTGCCTATATCCGATGCTCCAAATCAATTTTATGTAAATGGATAACAAATCTAAGGTGTGAATCTAATCTAATGGAAATGATGAAAAGCAGACATAAAAGGGTTTTCAGGGCTCGAAATGATGAAAAGGCGGATGTAATAAGCTTATTAATAGCACTTGGTAGCTGGATTGTTGTTTATCCTATGCCTTCCTTCCAACTGGCGTGCTAGTGCTAACGATGGATGATTGTGAGAAGGTATAACTTTGACCGAAAATGAGCTATCTCCAAGTAGGAGGGTAGTCCAAGGAGAAGAATCATGTGGAGGGAGCAGCAGCCACGACCAACCTCTGGCCATTGCCGACGAGCACAATGTGCAGCTGAGTGTAGTAATTCAAAGCCCTCCAAAGCCCTCCGAGGCCAGAGCCAGAGCCAGAGTCTTGCGATGAGTGGCTAAATTCCATAATGAAAGAAGGAGGCGAGTCTGGCAAGTCTGGTGACTCCTCAAACAACACAATGCCAGAGCATAAGATGCAAAGAGTCCCCCAGACGCTTTGGCAGATGGAGTCGAAGTTACGACAGGAATTACATTGATTGTAACTTATTAAAGCTTTCATATAATATGATTGCGGTCATAGAGTCGAAGTTACGATACAATTATATTGAATCGTAACTTATTAAAGCTCCAACATGATGTGATTGCGTCATAACTTCCAACATATTACCCATTACTTTAAGCATGTTAAATCATAACCGAGGTGAATGGTACCCACAATAGAATTTGCTCTCACTTTATAAAGAGAAAAGGACAAAGAAACATATTGTCCAGACAAAACTCATGATGTACGCAACTTGGTAGAGAAGTGTTTCCCATCCATCTATTCTTTCTTTATTCCCTATCCAAAAAAAGAAAATTCTGTGTGTGATTTGCGTGTTTACTCTACAGCTTGTATTGTTATAGTTTGTTAATTACATCATACAGATATCTGGACAAACCCAACTCATTGTGGAGGAGCTCCTCCTACCCCGCCGATGTGGCAACTTATGATTGATTTCCTAATACACAATTTAAATCCATTAATTCTTATTATCTCTGGTAGTAGTAACATTTATATAAAATTTTAGGAAACCATATACTAAATCCGACATATTTTAGGTAACTACTACAATTAAATCTCTACATAAAAGCATATTTCTTTCAACTTTCAGAAAGAACTCCATTGTAGTTAGGTTTCTAAAATAAACCCTAATTGAATATTCTTATCGTTTTACTCCTGCAAAACACAATAATCTTCGTCAAAGTTGGTGTTCTAGACATTTTGTCTACTGTTATTTAGAATTCATATTTGTTTGCTTATTAGTTATTGTCGTTGCATTTATGGTCATTCTAATGTATTCTATTTGTTATTAATTTCAATGCCATTACATGATCTATCTCTTAATTAATCATGAACTTTCTCATCTTTTTGGGATCTACCTTCCCTCCCCATTCTTTTATTCTTTCACCAACAATGGAATATGCCTACAATTCTCACTAGAGTAATTATACTCAACAAATGCTTAGAATTCACAAAAATTTTAAAATCATGAATAATAGAATTATGATTGTCAAATTATCCAATTTCATACCTTGTTACTCTGAACAGATCTTTGACAAATATTATTCAATGCGTTTGATTTTAATTTTATGAATTCAATTTTCTAAAAATTGAGTTTTTTTGTTTTTCGTATTTTTTTTTTGTTTTTTTTTTGTTTTTAGTAAATATCTTTAAAATTTTAAGAAATTTTTGTTATTTTTTTAGATGCACCTCACTTAGATGTATCTAAATAGTAAAATATTTGTGAAAAAATATTTTAAAAAATTAATAAATACATAAAAATTTGAAAAATGTACTGAATTTTTATATATATATTTTTATATTTTTATATTTTTGGTATTTAGTGAATTTAATTTTTTTTTTATAAATATTATACTTTTTAAGTGTATTTATGTTAGGTGTGTCTAAAAATTAAAAAAATTGCTTAAACTATTAAAAAAATTCAGTAAAAACAAAAAAAAAAAATACGAAAACAAAAAAATAAAATTTTAAAAACAATAAATTTTGAAAATGGAAACCAAACAGAGTGATTGTTAGTTTGCCTATGTGGTTATGAATATATTTTTATGTTATGATTCGTTATAGAAACTCAAGTATAATAATTTTTTTTGTTTTTTGTTTTTGAAAAGTTGAAGGAATTATGATTTTATATAAAGATTTAAGTGTAAAAAAATATATTGATAACCTAAAATATATAGAATTTCTAAAGACCCGTTTCCTTAAATAAATGTAAACGTTGACTACAGTTTAGGCTCAATTTGCTACAAAATTGAATAAGAATTAATAAATTTTGAATAATGTAATGGGTGGCCAATCATAAATTGGCACATCTATGGGGTAGTAGGAGTAATTGGAGGAAAACATTTTCACTCTCACTTTCACATGATAGCACACCACCAGAGCTATTCACTTTCAGATGGCAAGACGACCTAAATGTCCATTTGAATTTGAATTTGGATCATGGTTTAAATAGTAATATATCTCATCTTTTGAATTTGGCATGGTAAGACGACCTAAATTTTCATATGAATTTGAATTTGGATCATGGTTTAAGCAGTAATATATCTCATCTTTTGATATGTATGTGAAAAACATGTTGCCAGATTTACATAAAAGAAAAAGAATAAAAACCAAGGGACTGGATTTCTTTTTACGGAGTAACATGCAAAAAGAAAAAGCTTATGACTTTATATAAAAAGAAAAAGATCATAAACAAAAAGAACCTCGATTCTTTCTCAGAAACAAGACCAGGAAAAGCAATGCTGAACTTCATTTTTTGTTTTGATGAAGATTCTCAAACAGATAACACTTTTAACGGTGTTGATCTCAATCTAATACAATATAAGATAGTTGCTTAAAACTGGAATTGTTAAGCAGATATAAGGATCATAGGATACAGATTATACCTCCTCTTGCTAGATTGTGTATCTGATTCTTATAAGCTAGCAATGTTCGATCAGGCTTCCGACAAAGTTACTTTGAATGATGAGATATTTCAACGAGGATGAGTGTAGTCCAAGGAGAAGAATCCGGTGGAGGGAGCAGCAGCCACGGCCAGACCCGTGGCCATTGCCGACCAGCTCGATGTGCAGCTGAGTGTTGTAATTGAAAGCCATCCGATCCCACAGCCACAGTCCCCCATATGCTTCGGCAGATGGCAACCAACTCCACCGTGAAATACTAGGATCGGCAGCTGGTTTCCATCGGTCCCTACCACCACAATAATACAAACCTTGAATGGTTCGAGAAAATCAAAATTCAATTCACAAGGGCGTATGTCAAAAGTTGTGAACCACGATACTCGATAACTGAATTATATGACAGGTTGCACAGGTGGTCGGTGAGACAAGAAGTGTTAAAATTAATGCCGTATTTACATTAGTTACATTGCATACATTAGATATATTGGATACATTGCATACATTGGATACATTGAGTTCATGTATTTTTATATTCATGTATTTTATATTTATTAGGTTCATTGTCTAAATTATATTAATGTACCTAGTTAGTTGTAAGGTTGTTTAGGTTCATGGATCTTATTCATTGAACTTATGTATAACATTCTCTATATAAAAATGATGTAAGCCCATGGGTAAAGGATATGAATGAGAAGAAAAATTCAAGATCAATACAAGTTAAATTCAATACAAAATAATAGTTCATTTGACAGAGAGTTTTATCAAAAGCTAACAGAAGTGGTATCAGAGTTTTGGTTGGGTCAAGAACAAGCTGGGCGTAAAGATTGGATACGGGAAAACAAGCCCCAAAGAAGAACAAGCCGACGTCCATGGCGAATTCCAACAACCAAAATGTATGTACTCTTATCTTTAATGGTGAAAATTTTGATTTTTGGTATGTGAAAATGAGAACTATTTTTGTCTATATGGATCTTTGGGATCTTGTTGAAAATGGGTTTAAGGAACCTGAAGATAAAGGAGTTTTGACAAATCTCCAAAAAAACCAATTGAAAGAGCAAAGGAAGAAGGATTCAAAGGCTCTCTCTTTGATTCAACAAGGAGTTTCAAAAGCAATCTTTCCAAGGATTATCAATGCAACAAAAGCAAAGGAGGCATGGGATATTCTTCAAAAAGAGTATCGAGGCAACTTGAAGGTAGGAACCATCAAACTTCAATCATTGAGAAGAGATTTTGAAAATATAAAGATGAAGGATATGGACTTGTTGAATGATTATTTTTCTAGAGTTATGAAACTTGTGAACCAAATGAAAATTTATGGGGATAATATTACTAATCAAAGAGTTATTGAGAAAATTTTGATAAGTTTGTCGGAGAAATACAATTCTATTGTTGCTGTCATTGAAGAAACTAAAGATCTTGTTGATTTGAGTATTAAAGAATTGATGGATTCATTTAAAACATTTGAGCAAAGGTTGAGTAGGCAATCTGAAAAGTCAACTGAAAGTGCCTTTCAATCCAAACTCAATGTTAGTACTTCTAATTCCCAAGGAAGAGGAAGAGGAAGATGAAGAGAAATAAATGCAAGCGGAAGAGGAAGGTCTAATTTTCAAAGAAAAGAAAATGAAGAGTCCACTCAACAAAAGTGTGGAATTTGCAACCAAAGCAGTCATGTTGATAAAGATTTTTGGTTTTTGGGAAAGCCAAAATGTTACAATTGCAACAAATTTGACCATGTCAAGAAGGATTGCCAAGTCAAGAGCACTCAACAAGCTAATTTTTCCGAGGAGCAAGAAATTGAAGGGCACATGTTCTATGATTGTTACAAGGCATCGAATCAACACAAGGATGTATGGTTTCTCGATAGCGGATGTAGCAATCACATGACAGGAGATGGGAGCATTTTTGTGAAAATGGATGCTTCCTCTAGTGCTCAAGGAAGAATGGGGAATGGTGCCTTAGTCCAAACAAAAGGAAAATGTACTATTGCTATAGAGACCAAGATGGGTACAAGATTCATTTCTGATGTTATCATAGTTCCAAACTTGGAGCAAAATTTGCTAAGTGTTGGACAACTTATAGAGCATAGATACCTTGTTCACTTTGAAGAAGATTTTTGCAAAATTTTTGACAAAGGAGGGAGAAGCCAAGTTGTAGCAAAAACCAAGATAGAGAAGAATAGAAGTTTCCTCACATTTTCCAGTATAGCAAAATGCGGCTTTGAAGATGGATGTGATTGACAATTCATGGCTTTGGCATAGAAGATTTCGGCACTTGAATTTTCAAAGCTTGAAGCATCTACAACAAAAGAATATGGTTTTTGGCTTGCCGACCATTCATAAAGTGCAACATATTTGTGAAGGTTGTACACTTGGAAAGCATTGCTGGGAGTCATTTCCAAAGGAGAAAGCATGGAGAGCTAAAGCACCATTGGAGCTTGTCCATACCGATGTGTGTGGACCTATGGATACACCAACTCATGGAGGTAACAAATACTTTATTATCTTTGTTGATGATTTTACTAGAATGACTTGGGTGTATTTCATGAGACAAAAGAGTGGAGTTTTCTTTTTCATAGCCACGACATGTTCTTTGTGTTAAAATTAATGCCATATTTACATTAGATACATTGGATACATTGCATGCATTGGATACATTGAGTTCATACATTCTTTGTATTCATGTATTTTTATATTCATGTACCTAATTAATT